GGATGCAAAACTCCACACATTCTTTATACGAGCAACAGATTAACGTAACTGGTCATTCAACTACTACATGAAAAGAGACTGGAATATCCACACAAAAAAAAATCCACCAAAGTACCTGAATATTAATCTTTTTACACGTAAAATGTTTGTCGTTTACGTGCTAAATTTTTCTTGCCATCTATGTTTCTTATTAAGCCTTTAAGGGATATGCCTTATGGCCTCTTCAAATTCAGAATAATTACAGGAATTACAAAATCCATTTAAACAATTAATAAGACTCCTTGGATGGGTGATCAGACCTGTCAGTGTTTGAGCAGTAAAGACCCACACTTTAGACTGCACTCCAATTACAAAATTTTTTAAATTCACACGTTCATTTGAAGCCCGTTTTAATTTTATACACATTTCAAAAACAAAAGAATAACATGGGAATGTCGATTGTGACACAGTGTAAATCTTGTATAGAATACATATATTTATTGTTGTGATAACCTAAAATTTAAAAATGTTTTAACATTAGGAAGCAAGCTGTTGAAAAAAATACGAAAAAAAATTACATTTATCACACGCCCAAATTTTTTTTTAAAACTTTTTACGAGGTTATCATCAGGGGTAAATCCACACTCTTGTTAAATCAAAATAACCTAGATTTTTTAATCTTATTATTTTAAAAGAGAAAAATAAAACTTGATTTCAAAGTTCAAAGATTAAAAGACAAGAAATAAAATAACTAATTATTCTAACAAAACTGTCATAATGATGTTTTTACATTTAACTTATAGCTGAAAATGTTTCACCACTTAAAAAATCCTCAGTTCGATATATGTACAAAAACTGGGCATCATCACATGTCACTCACATCTTTTAATTAAAAATGATGTTCTTTTTCGTTTTATTTCAAATATTGTTTATCTCTGTTGAAAACTGGTAGTCCTTTGAACAATAACTGATATCAAATTCTTATCAGCGAGTTCACAACCATCGTGATCTGGATGCTTCAGTTTATTCGAACACAGATCAACCCAAAGATAACTGTTTCTGGGATGCTGGGCGGCCAAGTCTCGTAGAAATCGAATACCAAACCACCGGGAGTACGAGGTGCGATCGGAAGGTTTCCAGACTGCGCGTATAAAAACCCGTACACTTATCTCAGGTATTAAATTCATCCATCACCCTCGAAGTAGTTCCCCTGAGAGTGAACACAACGATCCCAGCGCCGCTGCCAAGCCTGGAAGCATCCCTGGAAATCTTTCTTTGTCAGCCTGTCAAGCACCATCTGCGATTCTGCCTGAATCTCTTCTATCGTCTCAAATCTCCTTCCCTTTAGCTGAATTTTCATCTTGGGGAAGAGGAAGAAGTCACACGGAGCTTAAAAAGGAAGTTGGGGTCGGTTCTTGCAAGATCTTTAAACTCCTGACAAACGAGAAGTCGATTCTGCTTCTGGTCCTCAGACAGGAGCCTTGCGTCGCATGTGGAGTTCTTCCTTTAGAATCAGCTAACAGGTCCCATAGCCTATCCCAACAATGTCGCACAAATCGTTGATGGTACGACGTCGATCTTCGTAACAGTTTCGGGCGTTGTGCTCGAAGATGGTCGTCCAGAACGCTCGTCATCATCGACAGAGGTTCGGCCATTTTTAAAACGTGAATGCCACACAAAAGTTTGTGCACGACCCATTGCGGACTCCCCAAATGCTGGCTTTAGCATTTCATAGGTTCCGGTAGCCGTTTTGGCGAGTCTTTGGCAAAATTTGATGCACACGCCATTCCGAAATCGCAGGAGGGTCGGTAAAATGCACTACCAAAACGCCCGTAACTAAGAAACAAATGCTAATTCGATGATGCCGGCTGGCACACTGATTCACTATGAATGTAGGCCGCACCCCCCCTAGCGGCAGAAGCTCGTACTACATCCGGTTCGCACTCTATTGACACAGTCTTGAAACTTGCCGATCGCACCGCCAGAGTACAGTTATCTTCACACTTAGACCACAACTGAGCCTATCCAACGCATGCCATTTTATTACGAACACACTTTTGCTGAACACAGACCCACATAAATATAAGATGCCCAACACTCGACATTTTGTTAGACATTATATCTACACATATATCGGGTTTTTAAAGCATTTCTAAATAGCGAAACATTGTATTTTTAAGCACAAGTCAAACACAAAAACATCACCTGGACGGATTTATTAGAATAATAAGTATCACTGAAATATAGTTAACAGCACCAGAATTCATTTGTATCTATCTCCATTCATCTCATTTCCTTGAAATCTGAGGTTTTCGCGGTGGTAACACCGTGTAGATACCGACATTTCGGAGATAAATATTGCCTCCTCTGGTGTCAGTTCACACGGCGTTACAACCCAGAAAACATGCCATTTCTTTCTCACACACATTTGTACATGAACGACGCCAACATGAAACTTTTAAAATACGTAAGTAGATTTTTACCCATCACGATCGTCCATTGTTACCGTTGACAACTGCAAGCCGCAACAATGAGTTCGTTAAACCGCCGATCGGAGCGCCGTAAACATTGCACTGCACCGAATACACGAAGATGGCTACTTTGTCCTCGAGAATCGCCTCTGCTCGAGTGTACGAGGTCGTCGACGGAGCAATAAGACAAGTGACTGTCGAGTCCACCTTCAAGCGCTGTTGTTGATCGGCAGTTTTCTATACCGTAAGTGGATACTAAACCAGTCATACCAATCTCACAAGTACGAACGTATCTCAGTGACTGCAACTGGGTTTAGAGAGACACTTCGATTTCTGGTGGCGGGGATAAAGAGCATCTTCTACTTTGAAGGTTTCCAGGCAATGCCCGCTCGTCCTTCTGATAAGGATAAGTAAGAGTGAAGACGTTAGGGTAAACCATCTCAGCCTTTGAATCCGAAGCTCATCTGAATAATATTTAAGAATTCAGTCCGTACCGCGAAGAAAACACCGCACTTCACCATTACAAAGATCGACTGGTTAACGCTGTTTAAGGAAATAATCGCTGTTTATACTGAGAATCATAGTTCGTCTGATTAATATTTAAGAATTCAGTCCGTACCGCGAAGAAAACACCGCACTTCACCATTACAAAGATCAACTGGTTAAAGCTGTTTAAGGAAATAATCTCTGTTTATTCTGAGAATCATAAGAAATACGTAAATACAACATGGAAATTTGCTGGTTGTTAAAGGAGATGCTATGTATAGTCACCACTGGACTTTGAATGGTTAAGGAATCACAAGAAAACAAGTTTCTGACTATATACTGAAACTGTTGTGTTATTTGATTCCAATGCTAGATTTATAGTTGAAATAAACGAATACATAGCAAAATCGAACTAAAAAGGATAAATCTCCACTCCCCTCTCTACTTCAGCATGGCAGACACGCGGACAATACAAGCTCGTCCTCCAAATGTAAGGCCATGAATGTCTCGGGGGCTCCATAAATCACTCGGTATTTTTCTACTGCTATCGCCAAAAGCAAGTTTACAATTACTTTGTCCTACGTGTCATTCGTGATATTGACGCGTGAAAAAGAGCGCTTATGAGTTTCGTACGAACGCCTTGCACATGCACACAGGGTGATTCAAAAACTCTGCTTCAAAAATTAAAGACGATGCTGGAAGAATTATTTGTAACTGGAAGCGTGAATATATACAATTAGTCTTAACATTTCAATGTCAATTAATTTAATAGTTTTTAACGGGAAAAAAAATAAAGAAAGCAAATTCTGTCATTTGTACAATTTTTAAATCGACATTTCCAGTACTATTTCCCTTTGAGTACTTTTCTGTTCGTGTGGTGGAAACTTATCACCGGAACTATCATTCTCCGTGCCTGATTACTGCACTATTAACTATCTGCAATTCCACGAACAATACCGAGGAACCAAGTCAAATTATCACAATACAGTGCAAGAATCTCGTCACTCTGAAACAGTGGCGAATCTGAAAAATAACAATTGTTTCAGATCTGCTCCAAATGATCTCTGAGGAGCGACAAACATTCTAAGGTGAACATTTGGCAATAATTCAGTTTCCAAAAAAAATCCTGTGCTTTTATGGAACCTGGTGTGACCTATTATCACATTACTCACACAAGAAAAAAAGGCCAGTTCAAATACCATTAGCCTATTTCTTTAAACTCCTTATTAATATTATCCTTCAGTCTATGCAATGGTTTCTCAAACACTCCCTTCAGTTGAGATTTTCAAACCAAAATTTTATGTTTCTCATTCAATAATTGCCAAGTAGCCTCACAAGTAGACGAATTGTCCCCAAAATAATTTTTGAAATGCCAAATTTCAAGAACTTTACTAAATTATGTCAACAGAATTTCAATACCGTTATTAAACTTAATCTTGTTCTCTGTCGTAACATTCTTTTCGTTCTCTAAGTATAAAAATTCCTATTGAACTTGTACTTCCTCAGTCCACGCAAGCCAAGTACTAGGACTAATCCAGAAAACCACTCAATTTCATGTAAACAAAAAACGGAAAAGGTCCCAATAAAAAAGTACACTATTTTCCAGAAAAAATCTAGCTGAAAAATTGTTAACTTGCGGCACACACAAACATGTGTATACACATATAGAATATAACATTCATTTGAATTTTTTAACACAGGAGTAGTTTAAAAAAACACATCAAAGCGTATATAAAACAATGAATATTTATCGAAGTGCGATGAGGCAAAGAATCATTAAAAACAAATACTTTCGCAGTCGCAAATTCTCTGGTCCGGCTAGTACCGCACGGCCGGACCACTAGAATTGGAGGAATATAAACAAATGTTTTAATACGTAACACAACAGCCACGCAATAATGTTGTTTTAGTTATTAAAGTTCGATAGAATTGTGGCGATATTGTTCGGGAGATCTAATAATATTGCATTTCCCGACAGCTCGATTTATAGATCAGGATTTGCCACTGCTTTGTGTAGATGTAGAAAGTAAACACAAACACGCTATTTCATCAGTTATTACGAACCTACGATCCTTTGTCCTCTTGTAGCGAGCGATCCCGAAAACAGTAGGCACCGTGTCGCTGCGAGGCGTCACATTTCCTCGACCCACTGCGCATTTCAAATTAGACGACCCACCCTAACACAGAAATATTTCAGATTAACTGTGCTGGAGTGTTACGCTGCTATTCACTTCAAACATCTCCAACAACATAAAAATAGACATGACCTTGAAATGGATATAATACATCTGAGATTATATGTGGTTACAAAATTGGTTCATTTTGTAAGCTTCTGAGCAGTTAAATAAAAGATAATATAAAATAATAATCAGCCTTGAAAACTCACATTTTTTCTTAATTATCCGCACAGTACAAAAACTGTAAAATTGTAGTGGCGTTCACTGCTATTTCATATACCTTACTCGGCTTTGCATTCATTCACTGGAGATAAAATTCTGGAGATGCAATCATAAATGGTTTTAACTTGTTTACCGTATCAAAAAATGTTTCAAAAAAGTGGGGCGTACACAAATGATTTAGACTAACCTGAATTACGTGATCCTTGATGGTGGTGGCTCCCAGGTTACACTTTGGCCCGTTCCACATATTCTTCCTGGAGGTCGATGCACCGTTGCCATCTCTCTGGCAATTTCCGTATCGCCTCACGAAACCATTGTTTGGGGGTGTCTCGTACCCACTCCCTGACAGCGTCATGTAAGGCGTCACTATCGGGGAATCGGTAACCATGCGGGGGATTCTTCATCTCACGGAAGAGGGCATAGTCACTTGGTGCCAGGTCGGGGGAATACGGCGGGTGTCGGAGCACAGTGAACCCCAGTGACTGCAGCTCAGCTTGAGTCTGTTGGCTGGTGTGTGGGCGGGCATTGTCATGCAACAACAACACATTCCGAGACCACTTCCCCTTGCGACGCTGTTGGATTTTGCGTCTCAGTATTCGTAGGGAGGCACAGTAGCGGTCACTGTTGATGGTCGATCCCTATGGCAGCTAGTCCACCATGATTATGCCCCTTTCATCCCAGAATACTGTTCCCATCTGTTTCCCAGTAGACAGTGCAGAGCGGAATTTTTCCGGTGTGGAGAATCCTTTATGCTTCCATTGCTTCGACTGCTCCTTGGTTTCAGGGCGTGGTAATGGAACCATGATTTGTCCCCGGTCACCAATCCTGCAAAAAAGGCCTCTGGGTCTGCATCATGTAATGTCAGCAGCTCACGACAGATCTGAACCCTCTTATCCTTTTGTTGTTGATTCAGAGCACGTGGCACCCAATGCGCACAAACCTTCGATAACTTCAGGTTGTCGTGTGAATGATAAATAGCAGTTGGGTAGCATGTAGAAGTGGACGTGGCCTATTTTGATGTATTATTCTGATACTTGCCTGGTGAACTGATGAAAATTATACAAAAACTCCCCTTCCCGAGATTTGAACCACGGGCCTCTCGGATATGATGGTGATGTTCAGTGTCGTCTGGACCAACACGGCTGGTTGTCTGTAGAAAGTGAAGTGGAAGGGATCAGGAAGATGCAAGATGAGTCAGGGGAAATTAACATATTAAAATTGACACATGTCTTTATTTCAATCACCTTCTGATAGAGACCAATACAGTTTAAACACAACCAACTAAAGGGAGAACAGTCCTTCTCGAGAAGTTAATAGCAGCTTAGATAGTCAAGACATTTGACCCTAACACATTTTATGAAAGAAAAAGAACATGCCATTGATCCACATACTAAACCACATGCAACCATGTCGGTGTTTTTCTTCTGGTTGGTAATGCCATATAGATTTGTAGACAAATATGCCCATTTTGGACAACCACTGTTCATCTACCTAAACGTCCACATGCTGTCACTTACCAGAAAACCATCATTGACATCTTAAACCTGTGAGAACCTTACATCTCACATATGAATACAGTCTGCATCATCACACCTTATTTATCTAAGAATTTAACTTCGGCAACAGCAGAATTTGTCTCGACTGACTAAATACTTCTTTAGAGAACCTTCAACTGCTGACTAAGAAATTAGAAAAACGCTAAATGAGGGTCAAACATAGTAAGTTATGGAGTCTTTACTGCACTTTAACACAATAATTAATTACAAAATAATATTGGTCATCTGATAACTAAATGTCACTAACCTACTCAAGACGCTGCTCCTTCTTCATGAGATCTTTGTGGACGCAGGAGAGATGTCTCAATAAATGAGCCTTTGCTTTGAATCTGCTCACACAGAGATGACAGCCAAAGACACGCACGTCTGAATGAGTTCTCTTGTGGGCATGAAGAGTCGAATGCCTCGAAAATGTTTTATTACATTCCTTGCACCTGCAAAGTATTAGCAACATGTCAGCACATCGCCAGGCACGACTGTCCAGATACAGTCTATTTGCATTGTAATCCTGAAAGTGTTTATTTGTATATCGCTTAATCTGTTCAACTCGGAGTATAGCGCAGAGTCCTTCTTGAGAAACCACGGGTCACTAAGATGATCTAATTCAGCCCAGACTCCCACTCTACATCTTCATCCTCACATCCACACCTACCACACCTAATCCTTCCTGTACTAGAGTTATGACAAGATGATTCCTCCAATCAGTGCTCAGCTTTGACTGTCTCAAAACAGCTTAATCATTTTATTCCAGAAATTAAATCCAATGTTGATCTAAAAATGTAATGTTCTTGACCAGAATATTAATTCACAACATAATTTGTTACTAACGTTAAAAACAACAGATCCAGTGTTTTACCTCCATAATACTTGCACTGTTATGATCATGTCCATAAATATCCTCACCCATTCGCCATAGCTGCATTAATAGAGACCAGTGCATATATTTAGTGTCACTAAAAGTACAGGCAAGTGGATTTTCTTAAATGACTAGAATATTTACACAGTACTTCTAAAGCCCTGAGGACGATTAAAAAAAGTCTATTATACTAATATGACGATATGCTCACTTGAAAGGCCTTTCGCCAGTGTGAATTCTCCTGTGGTTGATCCAAGTCGTGCGAACAGAAAATGCTGCATCACAGAGGTCACACTTGTAGGGGCGCTCTCCTGTGTGGATTCGCATGTGGTGTTTGAGAGAATCTTTCAGGTTGCAGGAGTACCCACATACTTGACAGACAAATGGAGTCACTGTGTGCAGTCTCATGTGTTGTTTACGGCGCTCTCCCCCCAAAAATCGGTGCTTACACACCTCACACTCGAAGTTCTTCTCAGCGAGATGAACGACCATATGACTCTGAAGAAATACAACACATGACTGCAATCTCATCATCCAAAATCTGAAAAACCTTCAACTGAACCTGTCTATGAAAATCAGAAAACACATGAACAATTATTTTTTACAATTCATCTATTTAAAAACAACTGATTTTAGGATTATTAAAGAACAATGAATTGGAAAAATGTGACCAATTTAAGGTGCTAATCCACGCTTTGTCTGTAGGGACTGAGGAAAACCATAAAAAAACCTCAGTCCACATATCAATTCTCTGGACCAAGATTTCAACTCCTGAATCTGAAGGAGTATTGAACGCCCGAGCACAACGTTAGTTTCCTTAGTGTGTACATGATTCTAATTTCAATTATCACATGTACCCAAATATATGATGAGCCGGGATAGCTCAGTCAGTATAGTGACTAGCTACGGGCTGGACAACCGGGGTTCGATCCCCGATGGGGGCAGAGGATTTTTCCTCTAGCCTCTGCGTCCAGACCGGCTCTGGGGCCCACCCAGCCTCCTCTACAATGGGTACCGGGGTCCTTTCCCGGGGGTAAAGCCGGCCGGGGCGTGATGCTGACCACTCACCCCCATCTAGTGCCGAGGTCAAGGAAGAGAGGAGCTATACCTCCACTCACCCCAAGTGCCTACATGGCGTATAGTGGGACAAACTTTACTTTACTTACCCAAATATATGATCTATATTTTTGCTACTTATTAACATGTCAAAAACAAATTACATTCTTAACCCTGCTAGGAGGAAGTAAAACATTAAATAAAAGTGTTCAATTTGTTCCGTTTTTCTCCTTCTCCTTGACTTCTAACTCATGGCACAAATAAACACTATTTAAATGCAGACACTCAAGTCTTCATCATATAAATTCAAATTCCTGAGTGTTGCAGTGAGACTTCATCACAAAACTGTGGATGTCCTCTAAAGAAATGTAAAAGGGGTTAATTTAATTTCGAATGTACTATACAAGTTATCAAACAAAGCACCTTGAGCATGTAGTTGTTGCGGAAGGCCAGGTTACACACGGCACACACAGAAGACTTGTCACCTGTGTGAATCTTCATATGTTCCTTGATACAATGTTTGTATGACAACAAGCTGCTGCATTTTAGGCACTTATAGCGCAATTTTCCTGTCGCCTCATCCGAGACAGGCTTCACCAACCTGCAGAAGAAGCAAGAGAACATAGTACAAGAACTGAAGTAAGTCATGGAAGTGTCGAAAGACCCATAAAACATGAAGCTTCAAAACATTTGCTCTTCACTCATTACTGTTCTTCAGGTTGCAGGCAAAGCCATCCACGTGCTTAAGTACCCTAAATGAGAGTGTACGTAAAGATCCACACGTTCCTACCAATGACGGACAAAGGTTAAGTGGTCAGTTCCGTGGTCTGGGGCCACTTTAACCCTGGGGAGATCACCCTCCATTGATCTTAATGGCATGAATGATACTGAGTTTTAAGTTCACTTGGCGGACCTATGCATGAGTGGTAAAAGAGCAATAAAGTACTGTCTTCCAGATAATCTTAAACTGCGAACTTTCACACGTTGAAAGTCACCGAGAGATACCCCGCCTTGCACCAGAGATGTTTTGTTGTAATACTGGTTCCACTTGCCCAGTAGAAGACACATTAATTTTAAGAGCTTATGATATTAAATAAAATTTAATTCAAAGACAGACACACATAATGTGGATTATTTATTTCAGATGTCACATTTTTCATTTCCATATTATTAAATGCCCCACTTAATGGTACCTGCACCTTGTCGTGGTGGTGGGGCTGAGTACCTCAGTGACCCCAAGGGCTACTGGTAGAGCCTCCCTAGCCAGATTGGTTGAGGGGGAGAGGTCGGACTAAGACAGGTACCCTGCATCGTAAAAAGTAAGATGTTTCAAAACCTAAATCAAAGCCTCAGACAGACAGACCTAACAGAGGACCGAATGGAAGAGGAGAATTGAGGAGGCCATGGACCGAACACGAACCGGAGAGCCATAGAAGAAGAAGAAGAAGAAGATATTATTAAATGAGTTTCCAGCGTCTATGAATGTCACATACAGAATCATTAACTGAGCTCACCTGTACTGACTGGACTGACTTTTCTGTTTCTGGCTGTAAGGTCTCCGAGGCTTTTTGGCCTGCGTTGAAACAGCTGTGGAATTTTTAATTTTACTCTGCACATCCACTGCAGTGCCCTTCTTATTTTCTGCCAGTCTCTCTACTTTAACATAGGCAGTCAGTGGATCCTTAATGACATATTCTGTACTGTTGTTTCTCCTCTCGCCTCTTCGACCCGGCTTTGCTGGTCTACACATATTACGAGTCAACATTTTTCTAACTCGAGTATTCTCAATGTCTGATTCAAATGAATTACTGTCTTCACCAGGCTCCAAGACTTTTAAAAGAACCTGTACTGACTGATATTTATGACGTTCGTGATCTGAATTCAGACTAATATGAATAGATTCATTTTGCTTCTGAGAATTAATTGCTACATTTTCAGATGCTGTGACTTTTCTCTCTTGTTCTGTCAGCCAAGTTGTTTTTTCCGAGTCTTCAATGTTATGAGAGCAGCAATGATCAGTGCCGCACTCCTCCGCCACAGAGTCCGGAATTGATGCTAGAGAACGAATGTCACAAATTACTGGTGACATGATGGACGGTCTTCTTGTGGGTACATTCATTCCAGTAACACCTGCACGCACCTTCCTGTGCAATGCAGATGTTTCCGAATTCTGTTCACGTAGTGGAGTGTTACTAGAAACTTCTTTGCTATTACATGGCACATACAGGGAACAAATATTTCTTCTCTTTGGCCTTACCCTTCTTCTTTCATGCTTTACGGCAGTGGAGAAAAAACTGACCTCTGTATCTCTTGCTGATGTCTCAACAGCCTCTGATTGAATTTCACTCCCTACAACTGAAATTTCTTCGCCTTCAAATTCTTTTGGTGTTGAATCGGGAAATGTTAATACCGTATCAGCGGCAGCCTTCAGAGGGGTCTGGATTAACATACACGTGTGGGAAGATCCTTCTGTGGGCACATTCAGTCCAAAGTGATTTACAGGAGCATTCAGTTCCGTCCTCTGATCTTTCGCAGAAGTTTCTACATTGTGTCGTGAGAGAACAGCGCAGTTTTGTCTGGGAACTTCTTTGCTAATGCAAAGCACAGAAAGAGGACTTTCATTCCATCCATTTAAGCCCACCTCTGATGGCTCACATTTAGCAACAGTACAAGAAAACTTGTCCTTCAGTTCTGATATCTCACCCAACTCACACTCTACTCCATTCCCTTCAATGGAATCTCCTGCCACTTCAGACTGCTTAAATGTTGAATCAGGAAATGTTAATGGACCACTGTAAGCCTTCCTAGGGTTCTGAATTAAGTCAATCATCTCACAGACAAATTCACTGTCTCCAACAGAATTTCCTTCCATTTCAAAATGTTCTGATGTCTTGGGTGATCTTTTACAACACTTGCTGTATCTACTTTTGGGAGAATTCATGTAACCCTTTTGCTCTGGCAACTGATCCCCTGAAAAAGAGGACTGTCTAACAGCTTCCGTTGCCTGCCTGTTATCATCATCATCTTCCAAAACATTTGATGTAACATTAACATTCAAAACATTATCCTCCTGGAAAAGAAAAAGAGAAACTATATAAATTAAGTTGGCAAGTAAAAATGCGGCTATGAAAGGAAATATCATGAACAGGAATTAATTTATTTGTAATTTATTTTATATTATGAGTAACCCAGACTAAGAAAAGGCAACTTTTGGAGTAGATTAATTATACCAGATAATACAGATGAGGTTAAGTTCACTCACAATTCTAATGCAGACACTCCATTATAAAATTTGGGGAGTAACTTTGGAGATAAAACACAAATAAGTAAACAGATACAATTACATTTTGTATACACTATACCTTCAATTCACCTCCATCACAAAACAAATTCCAGTGCTTTAGTGTATACTGTGACTCCAGACAAGACTGTTTGTAACTGTGAAATAGCTCAATTTGGGAGAGGCACTCATAACAGAGCTGCTGTGGCAACCCATCATGCAAGGAGACCTGCAACACAAAGCATGCGACGTGATTCACTTTCATTTCTACTCTCTTGTCACACTACTGCAGACTGATAACATACACCTCCAAAAAAGTGCATAAATCACACACAATCCAAGACAAATGTTATACAAGCTCTTTCAGAATGCAAACACCTAGTCTTCTACATGTGAGATTTGAGGTTTTCACAGTGATGATAATGTTCTTTTGCGTTCTGGTGCCATGTGGACTGGTCAGTACATGTTAACATCTTGGGGAAGTGCACTGTGTCAATCTCTTGTGAGAAACCAAAAGAAAATCATAGTCTTCCTCAGTTGGGGATTGCTTCTCTAGAACATTCTTACAACATCTAACATTTAATTTGATTTGGTTATCCATGCTACATCCATTCAATTTTCAATGCTTTCTTTTGTTTAGAAACGTTTAACTGTGCTGTGAAACTAACAGATAGGCCTACATTTCAATTGCTGTTAAGAGTGCATGGTGGTCATCCCCCATCAACCGCTTTTTAACCAGTAACTCTCCTGCCAGAATTAACCCTGACAGGACTTATAATTAGGTTGAGGTTTTGAAACATCTTCCTTTTTACGGTGCAAGGTTGTTAGCCTTGCGACTAACCCCCAACCTGGAGGACCAGGGTACCTGTTTAGGATACAAAAATTGAGCATTTCTACAATGGTGGTACATTATTCACGAAAATGGCATTGCATAGATGTGAGTTCTTGCTGCAAATTCTTGCATCAGAAATCATTGAATTACGGGAGTAAAATACAGGTATCATATCTTGATAGCATACAACTGTTCTCCATGATATTTTCGTTCGATATATAGGCAAATCTAATTTAATATTATAACTTAAAAAGTAAACCTACTCACTGCATCATTTACCATTGCTTTAATCACCACACACTGTACTTACATGTATCGTAAGGTAAGTCCGGATTTTATTGATTAGATTCAGTCGTATGGCTTCTGTTTCAAATAAATTCAAACTTAGTCTACCTTCTGATATGCAAAGTCGGCACCTGTAGAAAAAAGAACCATTACCAGCTCCTTCCATTATATCACGATACAAGCACCTTCAACACGTAAAATATTTTCATAGAATATGGACATAATCGAATGAAAACTATCGAATATTTCGATTATTGTGAACTATCGAATAAATTCAAGCATAGAAACGTAGGTAAATTTCTATCAGACAACATGGTGCTATAACCTAGAAGATAGATAGAGTTCGACACCCCCCCCCCCCCCCCGTTTTTTTTTGGGGGGGGGGGGGGGGGTATTTATTTTAATGGAAATGATGCCAAACACGGACAAGGGCCTAAGGGGAAACAGGGTTTGGGGCCCAATAACCAAAATATGACAAGGCATATTACCCTCTGGAAACTATGCAATATAAGCCAGGTTAAGTTATAGCTGCTTTATGACCCTCTTTGAATCAGAAGCTGGGTGTTGAAGATCACTAACTTTATAAAGTGCTGGAGAGAATATCTTGTCTTGGAAAAGATTACAGCAATACAATGGAGCTTCACTATGTAAAGTTTTCCTACAGCACTGGTGGAATAATTTAACTAAAAATGTCATGGGCCAGGTACATGGGAAAAAGGACAGGCATTTGAAGTGAAAGTAAAAATACTAAATGGCAAGAAAAATAAGAAAAAATCTGCGACATTTTGTACGGTGTCTCTCTTATTACTGAAGAAGTTACATATTTTTTGACAAATTCTGTTCCTAAGTTATTTCTGTAAACAAAATAAAACTCATGCAACATAAAATACAACTCTTATCCTGTTGCAAATTCCAACAGAAGGCTGATAAGAGGAATGGTAATACATTTGACAACAAACTAAAATCTACAGGTATAATTCCTCAATGATTTTTTATATTACATATCATATATGTAAACAAAACTAATATTAAACCTTATAGTGCCAAGATCAACTAGACCAAGGACAAAAAGAATTCACAAAATAACAACAATGATCAGACTCTTATTCTGTTATAAACCTGCACTCTGGCAGTGTGCTACTGATGGCGGTAAATATAAACATATTATTTATAAACAATGGCAATGCCAGTCACAACAAAAAATACAAACAAATTGTGTATGTTGGATTTTTGGAGACACACTGAAGTGTTAAATTAGCCCACAATCTATGATGAGGTCTTATTATAATATCACATTGCTGCTAACACCACTACTCTTACAAAAAAAAACCCATAGATTTACTGAAAAATAAAAATATGGAACCAAATTATTAAATTATTTTTTTCATTCCATGTTGTGGTGCTCATAAGTGGCAGTAATAAACACAAATAATTACTAATACATGCACATACCTGTATATTCATATAATATGGGATTCAAATGCCTGTATAACAAACAATAAGCAATGCCTTGACCCATATAATTATAACTCAAAATCATAATATCCCTGCGGCAACCTTCGTATCAAAGTTTTGCCTCTGGTGAAAAAAAGGAGACAGTGTCATTACCTTTCACATACGTCGACTACAACGTGCATCTTTCTTTAAGCAGTGAACTACTTACACTTGGGAATGTATTTTTAACACTGAACATCAATATAATCATAAGTGAAGACCCACTGGGTAGCAAGTTAACCTCAAACCAGGCTCATTATTAATGTACAATGTTTAATAAAACCAAAACATACCTTTTTCTTTATGCCCTTTGTTAGCATAGGTCTGAACAACTGAAAAAAGGCCTCTGAATTGCTTCCTGACTTTGACGGCCAATGTTCAAACACTGAGAACCTCATCCCATACTGATAATTGCTTTGATTGCTTGAATGTCTTAAATAATTTCTTCACAGATGTCTCCGACAATTTGCGCACAGTACGCCAGTGCTTCAAGCGCTCCTTCTTGGTATAGTACAGCCAGTCACAGCCCTGTTTCCATTAAGTAACTCAGCTTTAGTTTGGGAACTGGGATAGTGGGCTTTGATATCAACAGCCTCATACCTTAAGAGAGTTCATTAACAGCTATTTGAAACATCCAGAGAGAAGTAGGAGAAAAAGATTAAAATTAAAGTCAATTTTAAGTAGAGACTGAGAATATGAACTGGACTGAATGATTTTTGGATTTTATCCAATTGCTTACTTAGTTATTAGCAGTGTTTGATCTTTATGTTCTATAGTTAATTCATTGGTTGAATGCCGGTTACTTATTTATAATTCAAAGACCAATGCCTTGGCTGAATGCTAAGATTATTTATCATGAAGACTCCATTTACATATGTGAACATACATAATATTTATAAAATTAATTTAACACCATGAGAGAGCTTAAAATTTAAAATTTCATGGGAGACTGAACGAAAATGCTTGACATACCGGGCATAGGAACTGTGGCTGTTCGTTCTCATGGGAATTCCAGTGTTCTGCCAAATAACTGCACTCCACAAAGGTCTCATTACATCTACAACAATTTAACATCTGACTGCTGTTGTGACGCTCCACATGCTCCCAGTAAATTCTATCCGAGTAGAACACCAAAAGGCAGAAACCACACTTATACTTCTGCTTAAAATTCTGTAACAGAATAACAAGAAGTTTAAGGCAGATGTAGTCACACCTCCTTTCCTTTAAATTATTTAATCTTTGTAGAGGAAGTACCTTAATTTATATATTAAACATTACCCTTTTACACCTTGACAAAGAAGCAGAAGAATAAAACAAAGAAAAATGAACAAAAAGATATTACGATAAAAGAGGAGAAAAATAAGAGGAATATAATTAAATAAGCAGAGAAACAGAAAGAATATAGAGAAGGATGAGCAGGATATGAAAGAACAACTTGAAAAGATAATTATCACCATTTTAGAGGCACCTGCTGTCTCCTTCAGGATTGACTTATTTACTTTGACCCTAAAGATAGAGGTAGCTGGTTCCTCTGAAATGTTAGGAATTTCTACCACACTGACATGGTAGGATACAGCGCTGAGAAAGACTGCAATGACTGCATTACAGCCTTTACTCTCTTAACGCATCTTACTGTGCCACTTCAGTGACACCGATATGGCACCTAAAAATTCAAACAGATGATAAAAGTAAATTATAAGCCATTCCATTCTGGAAAATAAGCTAATAAAAAGAACTTACAGCTGAACATGCAAACCATAAGTTAAAATTTCTGTTGCACACCTGTGAGCCCACTAGCATAGATAGGGCCATTACATAAATGTTAATAAACTGGAAGATATTGCGAACCTGTTGGTGTGATTTCTTGTGCTTTCTGCAACTCCAGTAGTAGCTGAACTGTTTATTGCACACATCACATACATGTGACTCAACTTCATGAAACAACTTGTGACTCTTTAACAGGCTGGGGTCAGAGAACCTCTTACCACATACATCACATACCATCCTCTTAGTGGTATGCACCAATAGATAGTGAAGCTTGAGTGAGTTCTTGGAGTGGAAACTGCTGTCACACACCTGGCACTCGTATGGTTCCACCTCTACAGCATAAGAAACAGACCTTATTAACAAGCAAGGGGGTACGAAGCCTGATGTATTCACAAGGTCCATATTAAATGTAGGTCCCGCGCCGTAGCCGCGCGGTCTGAGGCATCATGCTTCGGACCTGTGATACGGAATATGCGGCGGTTCGAGTCTCGGGGAAAGAAATTTCTCATGAGATTTTCGACCGGTGCCAACCCAGCATCGTGAGGAAATTGGGGAGCTACAATGGGTAGCGTAATCCAGTCATGAAAACTAGCAATGGCTGGGGGTTCGTCGTGCTGACCACACGCCACGATATATCTGGTTGGATGATCATTCACCTCTGCTTAGGCATGTGAACGTGAGGCCAGCAGCCAGCTAGTCGGCTTAGGCTCTCAGAGGGCTGTTACGCCACGGATTATTTTATTCAATGTAGAATCTTCATTTATCACATCCTTATAAATGAGATTTTGACAACCAAGTTACAGTAGTAAAACTATTATAAATGATACAGAGGATGTGCTGGATGAAACATAGAACATGAACAACACACTCAAGAAAGTTTATGGAAAGTGATCAGTCAGAAAACTGAAATATAGCTAGCAGGAAAATATTAATATTTGAGATGTCAGGTTCTCATGGTGGTTAGTATGAAGATGACTGTCTTCTGAAAAGTTGTGTCATGTAGTCTGGTAGACGTTCACTCATATTTCAGAGGTGCTTGCTGCCTCCATTAATAGAGCAATATTGTCCTTGGCTCCCTAGTCAGAAAATTGCCTGCATGATGGTGGTTAGCCTTCCAGTAAGCTTAAACATAAAAATTCTAATCTTTACTAAACAAAAACAGTGTGTTAATTATTTAGTTGGTTAAAATGTCCCTGGTCTCACCTGGATGGAATATGAACACATGATCCATAACTTCTTGTTTCCCGAAGAAAATAGTGTCACACATGAGACACTTGAATCCCGGCTCATCAGTGGGTCCCTCGCCCGATCTTTCAACATATCTATTGAAAATGTTATATTATGGGCATGTCCATTAAGTACAAAAATATCACAACAGCTGCAAATTTATATTGAAATGAGCTTTCAACAGTTTCTAAATCTCTCAGGAAACCACAAGAATAAAGAAACTGCCATCTTTTTGCATCAGTTTGAAATAATGGTGGATCACCAAGTGAGAGGCAAATTCAAGTAATATTTCTGTTATTTTTATGTAGTAACAAACCTAAATTTCTGAAACCTGTTTAAATCTAATTACTGTCACAAACATAAAAGTTATTTATATTCATTAAATCTTCTCTGATGATATTCTTAAGACCCTTCTTCATGCCGCTTATCAGCAGAACAAGAGAAGAAGGGTTCTTTATTCATTCAAACACACCCATGAAGTTGTAATTTCCTCAATGCAATGTTGTGAATCTTCTCTGAAGTTGACTGCGATGAATCCACATTTGGCAGGATTGCATCTTGCCTCCCATCTCCTTTCCCTATGACAAAAGTTTACCAACTTTCAGCTCTGGTGATAACATACCAAAGGCATCATGCCAGATACGTATATCAACATATTTGCACCACTGGAGAAATTTAATCAAACAACATGAAAGAGTGGGGCACGCGAGCGCTAATAATGCCTATTTTTCATACCAAGTAAATGGAAGAATTTTGTCCCCTGTAAATCGGCTAATTTGTTGATACACCCATTTGGCATCATGCCATCAATATCTGACTTACATTTAGCAAGTGCTCAGTTCAAGTCTCAGCTGGTTCACCGGCTATCCCGACTGACTTTGTGGTCCTCCTCACTCTTTCTGGGTGAAGGTACGGCTTAGCTTCATGCTGTCTGTTTTAATTCTGGTGGAAAAGCCCCAGATACCTACTGTATATGAGGCAGGTGGGCCACAGAGCCAGCCTGGATGTGGTAATGAAGAGAAAATTTTCTTGCTCCTTCCAGGATCAAAACCCTGGTCATCCAATCTACAACATAGTTACTATCCTGTCTGAGCTACCCAGTTCTTAAAATTGAATAAAATACATATTTATATAATTTTGGTTTTAAAAGATACTGTAAAGCAGTTTTTTCAAAGACCAAGAAGATAAATGATTAATATTAGACTGGACCTTAACAGAGTAAATTGCAAGAATGTGAACTGGGTCATGAGGAGTAACAGTGAGCCTCAAGTTCCTATTTCTATATAATTACTTTGTCCTTACACGAGATAAGCAATCGGTATTTACCTGGCCCGACACTATCTGACAGCGAAAAGGAAGGTGCTAATGATGTGGCATATTCACTGTCATACACAGAAGGGTCGACTGATGGAGATGACAGATGTGTCGGTGATACCGATGAGTCTACTGTCCTGTCAGTCCTGCTCAAAAAACAAATAACATATATGTAACAACTGGAGGGTCAATGTTTTATCTATAATATACCACAGACTCATTAATTATGTTAAACAGGTTTCCTAGCGCAGATGATAAAAAATGGGCATTTGTATTATGACGTGTTCCACATTTTTGGCTTGTATTATGAAGGAACTGTAGATTCGAAATAAATTATATTGTGATCCATATTATGAGAAGAAAAACTGGCTGTAAGCAATGCCAGTTAAACTGTCGCCAATCAGTCCTAATGCTTCCAACAGCTATACTACTTACATACAGTAAACCTCAATGCATATTCTTACTCCCTGCACACTTGTATCCCACTTTACTTGATGTTGAAAACATTAAACTTCATTTGTAACATAACACAATATCAATATGAAAACCAAACGTGTAATGACTGAGACTACTCTACCTAGTATTAATAATCAAGTACCTTCTATAAAACAACACCAATATTTTGCATATGTGCATGCCCTTTAGATCACACACCCAACAAATTAATCACGTGCCATACCTGCCACCTTTGTATGGGCTGTGGAATAACATGCAATCAAAGTGTTCTCCAGCCTCATTAACAGTCTCCATGTTTCTTGCAGACTAGGAACAAGGAGTAAGATGATTTCTCAAACAATTGGCCTCAAAAAATGATCTCATCTTCCAGAAACTTAACACGCACAAAACATTTTCAAATAACAGTCCCATTTCAAACACACTTTTCAGTGTTTTGATGTGGCCTACAATAATATTAATAAGTAATGATTCAAAGATATTGGGGGGGGGGGGTTTAATTCCCTACTGCCAAATTCAGAATACCAAGACATAAACAGGCTACACTTGTTAATAAAACAGGTTATTTTATCATTTTCATCATCACTGAATCACACATTACAGATGCAACCTCACATAGGGATTAGTTTGTTTCATGCCTAAAAAGTTACATTAAAACACAAAATGCATATGTGCATATTTTTGGACATATTTAGCAAAAAGATTCTCACTTGAGGGCACAATCTGCATAGGAAACTGTCTAGATTGATTTAGTGTAAGTCTGTTTCATTCTGATTCTTTCTAGTATATTTTTATTAGTGTTTGTCTATAACAGGTTATTTGCTGTTGGCAACACTCTAATAAAAGAAATTAATTTAATTTTAAACCCACCTACATCCTATTAAAATGAAATAATGTTTAAAACAAAACTGAAGTAGCAATACTTAACCTAGACCGGTACCTAAATTACATAACCATACATGAGCAAGCACAACTACACACACTATCTGTACTGTCTGTTATCTGATGTCAGGTGAAGTTAACAACCTTGAAAGGATCATAGCTACAGACCATGGGGTGGTGGGGGGTGGGGGGAGAAGCATGTTACAAAACACTGGGACCATGAGTCAAACAGGACCAGGGAAACTTTTAATGCAAACAGATAAATGCAAAGTGCAGGCAATAAAAATAACATTTATGGTCTGTTTACATTCTTCTAGTGTTGATTTCAACTACGTTAAACACAGTCAGACTGTGTACCAGCAGAAACTACACATAGATATAAAAATTCTAAATTGCATAATCATTACTTTACAGTTTGTGCTAACCTCTATGAAGTCAAGTTGGCATCACAAATTCTTACCAGAACTTCTTCTTAGTGTAGTTGCCCACAAACATATCCAATTTTATTTTCTTCATGCTTCTGTAAAAGAAAAGGATTTGGAAGGAAACAATCAAGGATTATATTCATGGTACTGTTGCAGTATCTGACTTACCATGAGAAATATCAGGGTAGTCAGCATATAAGCCAAACTTTGAAGACATGACCCCCTGAATATAATGCAGGAGTGCCACTCAACCACAATGTATGGTGACCCACGCAAATCACGAAGTTTCTCATCATGTAACTTCATTCCCAAATTATTTATTCTCCCTTAGGTCCATGTTGAATTTAACAAGTAGATTCATAAATGGAATTATGTTGCCCACATCATCAGTTTTATTAATATCACATTTCAGAACACAGCAGCTGAACACTGTAAAATATAAATACATTAAAATGTTACCACTGATCCTTGTTCTACATTCCAGAACACTACAAAATTTATTTCCACGAAGGGGTAGTGTTGAAGATTTACATACCTCAAGTTTATTGATTATTTATAAACATTTCAGGAAATAAATCAAAATACTTCTTCTTTTTCACTTCCATGTTAGGAGAGCCATTATCAGCATTACATAAAAAATGAATTCAGTACCTGCTATGCTCAACACACAGGGCAAAGTACTCTTATTCTAGTGGCACCTTAACCTCAATAAGAATATTCAAGTAATCCATATGAGCATCACAACTCATAATCTCTATGTAGTTTGGTATATGCACCATTCATATTCATTCTGCAACTATCTGCATCTCAAAATTCAAATTTCCCATGTGCCAACTACCAACAAATGTGTTACAGTGAGATAAATTAAAATACATCAGTTTTAGTTGCAAAGAGGAATGTTTTTGGGAGGAAGTATTGTTACCTGTTTACAAAAACTTTAAACTAGTAATTTTAAATGTAGCCAAAATATATCTTTGTAACATACATATCACAGTAAATAGGATATTTTTTTATTTAACAGCCAGTTATGTGACAAACCACACAGAGGCACAAAGTTAATACAAAGACAGATGATATAAAGTCACGACTACCTACCTTCACTATACCTCTTTGTCCACATAAAACAATTTTATCAGATCCTGACATAAGCTGTTGAATTAATTTTGTACACTGAAGTTGTGAAACAAATGAGGTGCCAACACGCAATATGAGCATACTTTCCCAACCTCATTCAAAATACGTCTATAAATGTTACATAGTCTAATATGAACATACTGCAATATATCCTGTAGAGGTCCAAGATTTCGCTGTAAGGAGATTTAATTACATAAAGTTTGTAATGCACCACATATTATGGGCAGTTCAGACTGTGATAAAAAATACAGTGACCCCTATACACTGTTGGATCAAAATCTAGTTAAATAACAAATTATGTTCAGAAACATAACACCCATCTATTAAAGAATTCTGCCGCAACACAAAACTCAATATAAAATTCCAACTGAGGCAAGGTCACTGAATGACATAAACTCATAGGTCTATACATATACAGTGTCACAACCTCAAAGAACAATCGCAGGCTGCCAGAAATCACAACTATCTACTAACAGTTTACCAATTCTGGTTTTGGTTCCTTCATGAATGTGATGACTGACTTCATGACATCCCTGTGGATGGTTGAGAGATGCTTCACAAGATGTGCCTTTGTCCTGAAGGAAGAGCCACACACCTAGCAAGACAAAACATAACAACAAAAAAACAGAATAGCTGGAAACATTCTTCAAGTCTTCAGAATTCTCCATTTTTTACATGCAACATGACTGCTCACCAAGCAACATTCATCACAACAGATCTGAAAGTATACAAGTAGTTTCGTATTTGCATCTGTCATTAATCAGGAAACAGTTTTCATTAATATCTGCTTAATCATGCATATATGTCATAACAGATAAAAACTGTTTAGTATAATAAATAAATTGACATCTGTGGTTAAAAACTGAAATGTCTGCTGTTTTTACAAAATATTTGAAAAAACGGCGCATTACAACCTGAGAATGACGTATCAGTACTCCTATGCACTGCGGTATTGCATGTACCAGCTTGAGTACACACAGAAGGAAAAAAATAAAGAAAGGGAAGAAAGACAGAAATATAGAAAAAAATAGAAGGAGAATAAAGAAGAAAAACAACTGGTTCACATGGACAGGTCTTAAATGAAATGCATAGAAATAGAGACAAAACACATGTTCCCCAATATAACACCCATAAAATATACCTGACAAGGGAATGGGCGCTCGTCAGTGTGTGTCTTGATGTGTGCCTGTAGATTAGTTCGCTGTACAAAGGTCTTTTCACACAGTGTGCACTTGTATGGCCGCTCCCCCGTGTGAATACGCACGTGATTCCTCCACGTCCCACGATCCGCAAAGCACGTCTTACAGTGGTCACACATGTATGGTTTCTCCTGTACACAAGACAACGTTCTTTTATCTCCTAACCTGCCCCGGGGGCATACAAGCCAATAATTCAAAACACTTCCTGCACCAACACTTTCATAGGGGAATGAAGCACAACCAGGAAGGGGATTCATTTATAGGTCTGAAGTTCTTCTCTGCTTGAAATTAAGACATTTCACATGACATATTAAATGCATTTGCTGCCAGGTTTCAGAAGTAACAATTTTTGGACTCAATTATTTTTATAACTATTTATGATATGCAGTAGGACAATGGCATCTCTTAAAGTTTCTTGTCACTGAGGGAGTTTCCAATTTTTGAAATTCATCAACAGCTGTCTGCAGTAGTCATGCAGAATACTCCTGTTACATTCCAGGCTGCATTTCTGGGACATCTGAAGTCCATTCCTCATGATGCCAGAACTCATTCATCATGTAGTACCATTACTGTGCCATGTCCAGATCTGTATCCTGTGATACAGTGGTCCCCAACGCGGTGCCCGTGGGTGCCATGGCGCCCACCAAGCCTTTTTTGGGTGCCCGCGTTGCTACGGAAAGAGGTTATACTGAATAATGAAGGCCGTTCAACCATGAACATTATAAAATCAAAGCGCAGATCTCGACTTACTGACGCCCATCTTGACGATTGTTTGCGAGCAGCAACATCATCCTACACTCCCAAACTTGAAAAACTGGCCGATGAAATGCAGTGCCAAACATCACACGAACTTCCCACTTGAGTAATAATAATTATACTTATAAAACTACATATTTTTGATCGCGTGGTTTCTCGTATCATTAAACGTAGTGTTGTTTTGTGTATTTTTTGGTGTCCATATCTTATTTGTCCAGAGAAAGGAAAATTTGGCTTTGTTAATTGGTTGGTGAGAGCCACGATCTCATAAACTTTTAAATGTGCCCATAGGCACAAAAACGTTGGGGACCACTGCTGTAATAGGTTCTTGAGAAAATGTGCTCTGAAATATCAATTGAGATGTGCTGTCTAGTATCAAAGAAACTACACAGCACATCTCAAAAGACAGTCATCTCCTAGTTTCTCTATTAACACAGAAAAGCATTAACTGGCTCACAATGTACACACCTTGGTGTGGATACGAAGATGTCTCTTAAGAGCTGGATTTTGTGCAAACTTGCGACCACAGAAAATGCAAACAAATGGCTTGACACCCGTGTGCGTTCGAAAATGGGAGGCTAGGGCACCGCGCTCTGTGAAGAGAGCACCACATTCCTCACACTTGAAATTCTTCTCACCCGTATGAAGTCGCATGTGTACCTTCAGCATGTAGTTATTGCGGAAATTACGTCCACAAACTGTGCATGCGTAGGGCTTCTCACCTGCAACAAAATGGTTACGGAAACTAATTACCATGCAAAGTAGCAAATCTATCTGATATTTGGCCAACCAACTTTTCCCCTTATTTATCAATCACTATTTTAGTTTAGTTAAGATTAATTTCAAGTGCCACTTTACTGAAACTTGTAACAAATTTGTATGGTGTGTATCGGGACAGCTTTATTTTTTTATTTACTTACTTTTACTGAGGAACTAGTTGTGTTCTTTTTCTCATGAGTTTATCATACCTGTATGTATCTTCATATGTTCCTTGATGTAGCTCTTCTGAGCAAAACTTTTATTGCACTCGACACAGGCAAAGCGAGTTGAACCTGAACTGTTTACAGTAACCATCACATACCTGCGCAAGAAACAGTTAAGTGAAGGCATAATAAATGCTTAAATATAAGAACACCAAAATACTAATTAAAAACTGTTTCGAAATCTGATGGAAAGGAACATCCTGAGACAGTCAAAGATAATAAAATTTGCTTTGAAAAAAAGTCATAAGAATGTTAAACAGACTGAAATGCAACAGAATACTGCTAAATGGTCAGATTTATACGATGACCATAACAGCAAAATTTTAAAAAAGTACACACTAGTGTCTATCAACACATTAACACTTTCTGTCCAGTGACTGGGTACGTACGCTTACAGGAAAAAAAACGTAAGTTACTTCTAAGCCCAAGATTAGAATCTAATAATGCCATCTTTGAACATCTAATGGGTGGTGCAGATTCTTTTTTTAAAAGCGCTGAAAATGAACAGCTCAACAAATAAGAATGAAACTCTGTAGAAAATAAATATTTTTGTAAACAAACTTTGTTGTGTTTCACACAACTTACACGAATTTAATTCAAATATACTTAGCTATTCATTTTTACCACTGTTTCCAAAAAAATGTCATGACACGAATTACATGCAACAGAAACAAGCTTCTGCCAGAACACATTTGTAGCACATCCTACTTACTTCAATGAATCCTGCAACTCCAGTTTATCTGTATTCTGAGACGCATCTTCAGCAATGCACACTCTGGCATTCCTATCAACTTCCAAATGCTTAAACTCAACACAATTGCTCGGTATCAGTTCTCCCACCACAACTGTCTCCTCCAGTCCCTTCCCAGAGTTTTCCTTTGTAAGTTCCATTGTTTCTGAACCATTGGATGTTTCCTCAAAATCAAAACCTGAGAAACCATCAGTCTCATCATCATCATCATCATCATCATCATCAGACTTAATGACATATTCCTCTGACAGCTGTTTGTCCACAATTATCGTTTGATTTTCTTGCATCCCTCCACCTCTCCTGCTATTGCCCTTAGCATCTACCTGTTTCAGACCCATACCCTCATATTTCGTGACTGAGATGGTACCAACGCCAGACATATTGAGCAGAATTCGTGACACTTCATTATTATTATCACTTTCGGGCAACTGATCTTTGAGGTCGCTGTTCGGATCATCATCAGATATCCTTAAAATATTCCTACCAGTCTTTATGGCTACTACATCAACCTTCCCACTTAAATTTTGGGACTGCTTTATTTGGTCAGGAGTGTCAGATGTGGTAACTTCATCACCCTTCGTGGTCTGTAACTGGATATCCTTGCTCCGTTGGCTGTTAACTGCTGTTTCCACCATTTTGGCAAGTTTAAGACTAGACAGAGAGCTTGTTGAGGGCTGTGCTACTGATTCCACTGATACGCTAGGGGTGAGTCGAGTGTTCTTATCTGAAGTCAATTTCAGTTCTTGATCTGTACTTGGAGCAATGTTTACTTCTGTTTCATCCTCTGACTTTAATTCATCCCCTGAACCTGATGTATTGTGCTGAATAGGAACACAACAAAAGAAATTTCAGGTTGAACATTTTTATATTAAAACTAGCATAATTTTTGAAAAGAATATACTGTCATGCTTCTCCAAAAATGCACATCCAGTGATAAAGATACACTGAATCTGTAAGGTAAATAGCTAGGGTAAATTCTGTATAACAATAATATATACTGTAAGCAAATCCATCTTGGATCAATACTTAATATGATAAAATAATATCTTTTGGGACTATTATTTAATTTTTTCAGTCATTAGTATAATAGACTATAACAAATTACCTCTCCTTATTTACACAGGAAGCTATGTCATTACACGAATTGTAAAATACTGTCAAATGTACTGCTTTTCAATATTGACGCTGATGATAAACTAGGTTTCAGCACAGTGCAGAATGGTCAGTAGATGCCAATGTTTCAGACACACATACCATGTCCATCTTCAGGGCTGGGAAGTAGAGGGACTCATATGTGGTTGGAGGAAGGGGCAGTTGAGGGAGTGGGACAAGGAATGACAGGGAGATGGAGCTGAGCTAATACAAACTGTCCACTTCCCAGATGTATCGCTTCAGCTCTAAAGGTGATGGTATAATTCTCTGAAATATTATCTACATGGCACCAACACCCAAAAAAAGAATCATCACCCTGCTGTGAAAACATCTTCTTAACATTGTGCTTACTCACCCGATTAAAACAAAAATTAACAAAAAACATTTAAGAAATCAGAACCAGCAACATCTACTTATATACACGCAGTTTTAAGGGCCGGGATAGATATCCGTCATGATAAAAATCAAACAGAAAATTATGTTTTGGTCCTAAAAATTCAGAAAACATGGGTTCAATAGTGTATGCAAAAGTTACAATTAACTGATACCCACATACCTTGCAACAATCGATTCTTCATGAAAAAGGAAAATATTATTGATGCAGTAAATTTTATACCAACATCAACCTTGCATATACTTACTTTATCTGAAATTCCTCCATAAAATAAGTGCCAATTTCTCAAAGTGTGTTCTGACTCCATGCATGATAGTTTGAAACTGTGGAATGTTTCAATTCGATACAAACATTGATAACATACTTGATTTGGTAACTCATCTTCTGAACATATCTAGAAGAGAAATCAGGTTATTACTGATTTAAATTTCAATATTTTGATCAGAATTCTTAAACGTAACAGGTCACCACTGAACTCTTAAAAGATTTATAGTAAAGTGCACGTCAGTAACCATAACCACGAAAAACCCCACATTTTCAAACAGTAGTTCAGTGCTAAAATAATCTTCTTTTTAAGCAATCCAAATATTACGGCTGTATACGTGCTGACAGAACACTAATATCAGTCAACTTACATTTATAGAAAGATACATCTTTATTTTGCACTTCAAATCCAACATTACTCCTTCTGGGCCAAATAAATTAAGCCCCAGTTGATGTTCAGAAGCACAAAGACGACATCTTTTAAGATATAAATCAAACTCATCCATCGCACGTAGTCGAAGACAATTGAAAACAACCTCCAAATTACACTTGTAACAGCCAAAATACAAAAATTTGTGCAAAATTACACATGAACAGCTTTCTTCTGAAAATGGGCGAAGGAACTTTTCTAGTGCTGACATCTATCACTAGTTGAACGTAATGTTCAATTTTAAAGATAAAATATTATACGCAGATTTCGCGTAATGCGGAAGATAAAATCTACAATACAATACATTTACCGAAAATAACCCTAGTACACATTTTTCATGACCTTATAGGATAGCAGTTAGAACGAAAAAGATACATCCATAAATTACACCAATATGCAATGATGATGAGCTAATAGTCCCCGAGATGATTTTTGCTTGGCATTCTTACTAGGAGGAAAAAAGTTATAACTAGTTAAGGGCCACTTCAAACCAATTTTAAATACTAATAAGGGCTTACTTTCACAGCTGCCAAAAAGCACATTCTATTGAGAATAATAACCAATAATTTCACGAACGCTACAAAGACAACTTGGTTCAAGCCCACTCTCTCGAATTAACGCACCTGCTGGTGTACAACAGCTTGCTGACTACATATAAGAGAGCTATTTCATACCAATTCATTACATGGATATAAAGTGGGCAGATAAAATGGAATTTAAAACAATTTTTGCCTTGAAGTATTAACAGAATAACTGAGGACACAGGGAATGAGGAAGCTGGGCTGCAGGAAGAAGGAAACAAGTTTTTTAATTTTAAAATTTGGTGGGGTACATCAGTGTGTTTAAAAATATTACATCCAGGGTAGGTTATCATTAAAGATCTCTTTAGGACATTACATAAAGAAAGACACACATACTTAGTCATTACAGTGCAGGATTTCCTTACAGGTCCTACACTGTATTGTAAGGAATGATCATTTTCCTTGTAATCAAGTATTTATTGGTATGGTCTTTAATATTATTCAAAGTATATGATTGTTTTATCAGACCCATCAGACACCTCTGAATACATGCAGTCATGATCCTAATACTACATTACAACAATAATTTATAAATATATCAAGAAATAAAATACAACAAAAAATAAGAGAACTGATACAAAAGGAAGGTCAAGAAAATGGAAATACTGCCATAGGCTATGAGTAAAAGCAAAATGGATGCTTGTAGCAACATTCAAGTTCTCTTATACTATACATGAGCCACAACATGCTGACAAGGGAGAAAATTAACCTCTTAGGCACAAATATCTGCTCTGGCAGTGCTAGTGTCATGTATCATAAAAAAGGCTTCCAAAGCTTAAAAATATATACTTAGGCTCTGGAATTAAACTTTCAAAAATATCAAGTTGCTATATAGAACAATAATCCACCTGTTTTAAACAGATGTATAAATTCTACGTACTTCAAGACACAGGCGTGAGGTTCAGTGAAAGTAAACTTTCCTTCATCACAGTAATAATGCACCATGGAAGGAATAAATGTCAATCTCATTAATTTTACTATGAGGTAAGAAATGAGCTTCAATCTCCAAGGCTACAGACTGGCACCTGAAGAAAATTCTCATCTTCAAAAGTTTTGAAATGGAATGAATAAATAGTGACTGGCAGGATCGTGTACTAATCTCAAAACAGTATTCAAAGTTCACAACGCTGAGAAGAACTACACATTTCTTGGCAATTTTCAGCTATCCGAAGTCACTGTTCAGAAATAATTACTTCATAGTACAGATTCAGATTTTCATAAAGTATCTACTTCTTCAACAGTAAAGTTATCTCATGGTAGTCACCAACGCTTTAAAGGTTCGTAAGATTTGAGGTTCTCACAGCAGTGACAGAAATCTTCATTTCAAAGGTTCTGTGACTCGCATCGTACTTAGCTGGAAAACCTGTAAGAGCAGCATACGGTAAGAGTATTCAGCACTGCAGTGCCACATGGATGAGACGAACGCTGGCTTCTTACTTGGGTATCTATCCTTGGAAACATAATGATTGGCCACTAGTAAAACATGACTTCATTTCACGACCAATGGGACACATATTTTGACCATACGATATACCACAACATAATGGGCCATTTCAATTTGTGTATGATCAGTACAAAGCTGCCATAATATGTGACAGTCCGTAATATAAACCATCTGGTATAATTATACAAAAATCAACAGACCGAAGTGCTGTAATGACAAAATCTCAAACGTCCAAGAAACCAAATATGTATCCAGTAGTGGAACTGGGAAATAGTCGCTGTGATACGTGTGATATAATAATGATCTTAAAAATCTGTACTCCTCCCCCAGTATTGTCAGGGTGATTAAGTCGAGAAGAATGAGATGGGCGGGGCATGTAGCGTGAAAGGATGGGACAAGAGGTGTGACCGGGTATTGATTGGGAAGCCTGAGGGGAAGAGACCGCTGGGGAGACCTAGACGTAGATGGAGGATAATGTCAGGCGGGATTTATGGGAGATAGAAGTTGAAGGCGATTGGATTTTGTTGGCCCAGGACAGTCCGGTGGAGGGCTTTTGTTAATTCGGTGATGAACCTTCGGGTTCCCTAAGCCATCTAGTTAGTTAGTGATACGTGTGATAAGCACGTGTTTGATCCACCCGCTGACAGTATCATCCAACAAAAGTCAAAGGCAAGGCATACATTCCTTGACAGGGCAGAATATAAACTTGTTCAACGTACAGAGGAATGCCAATTTGTTTGACCAAATTATCGAACAGGTTCCCTACATCTTATCGAGTAGAGACTATAGTTTTGACTCCAGTCTTACATTTGTAGGCACCTTCAGTTCTGTCTTCAAGGTGAAATTATGGAAGGAGGTGAATACACATTTGCAGACCAAATAAGACACTCCTATAAGAAAGGGCCATGTGTATTGCTTCTCCCTTAAAGCTGGTTACTGCTGTTTGCAGCTATCCTTGCTACGTCCTTTCTTGTTTTTTTTCTCAAGGGATGCTGACCTCCGCTGACCCTGTATTGGCATGTAAGGTGGCACTGGACTATCATCATCTTCATCATCAAACTCTGAAATTTAATAACTTTTTAAGTCATGTTACATAAGATGAGATATGAAATTAATACTCCCACCGGAAGAGGCTCAAGTTTTGTTGGCTGATAAACTGTACATAATGACATCTGTTACAGTAGCTTTGTGATCGCATGAACTTGAATGAAATACACCTGTGACCACTAAGTTTGCAACACTACTACAATGCAACATCAATATAATGAAAAATGATCATTCTAACAGCTACTGATACATCTGAAATTTGTTGCAACGCGTGACCACATCCTAACTTCTAATTACGTCTAACAATATGACACAAAATTAACAACTAATACAAGTACCGCTAAAGCAGTTTCACATTTTTTTAAATAACAAAGAATAACTCACTATACTTGATGTCTTTAGCGGTATCTGAACCAAGAAGTTACAAATTTTCTCACACAAACATAACCTCTTGTAGTTCGAACTCCCTCACTAATGGTACCTGTACCTTGTCGTGGTGGTGTGGCTTACCTCAGTGACCCCAAGAGCTATGCTGGCGGTAGCATAGGTACAGGTAGGGCCTCCCTAGCCAGACTGGTCGAGGGGGAGAGGGCAGACTAAGACAGGTACCCTGGTCCTCCAGGTTGGGGGTTGGTCGCAAGGCCAAGGCTAACAACCTTGCACCATAAAAAGGAACATGTTTCGAAACCTCAATCAAAGCCTTGGACAGACGGACCAGAGGATAGGACCGAATGGAAGAGGAGAATTGAGGAGGTCATGGACCAAATACAGACCGGGAAGCCATAGAAGAAGAAGAAGTTGGAACTCACCACTTACTAGAGCCACCCTCTACAAGCAAAAGTCCTGCCTGATACACGCTGCATGCCCACCTTTTCATGCACACATACTGTACAATCATCTCTCATGCAACTCTACAAGCCTCGTTAAACTTACCTGGAGGTGGCAGAGAGACGGCAGGGCTAGAAATGTTACTGGGTGGGGGGTCCACTACTGAGGTGTTGTATGTGCTTGTGTGTGTAATGGTAGCTCTGCGAGGATATGTGGGGTCTATGGCCATGGCAATGTTGGGCAACGCAGAATGAGAGGGTCCAGGCTCAGGGGACGGCAGTACATCTATTGCTTCTGGGTCTGGAAACCTAAAAAGTAGTGTCTTGTTGAAATTACCATTTTAAACACTGTTAAAACATTTTAAAAATGCATATTTTTGAGCATGATTAAACCATGCCATTATCAGCATAATTTATGACATCACAATATTCAAAATACATTATGAAGCTTATTTGTGAATAACCAAACTAGGGGCTACTGTACAAAGTGACATTATGAAAGATCACAAAAGTGTTCATTTGTAAACTGTACTATTTCTGTATCATGAGAGGTACGTTCAATCTGTGTTCCAGTATGTTTTTTACGAACCTCATGAAATGCCTCACACCAAACTGTAAAAATGGTTAACTTGGTCATATAGAGCTGTGCTAATGTTCAGTCTAAGATAATGTTTCTTAAATGTTAGTTTCTTGTAATTAAATGTGTTTTGACATGCCAATAAGAAACACGGCTGTAAAACTATTATCCGTGCTGTACCATGCAACAGCGAACCCAATGCTGTTTTACAAGTTCCTGAGAAAAGAAAAGGTCGAGAAAAACAGGTCACTCACACACCTCTGCCTGCCTCTACTTGCTGATCTACTGGCTCCGGAGGTCAGGTCAAGGTCAGTGGGACGAACGGCAGTGGAGTGAGCAGTAATTAGTCCATCCTGCTCAGACCACTGACTGCTTGGCAGAAGGCAGCCATGCACAGAAGGAGAAGCCACAAAGCCCTCATCATCTGACAACAGCTGCTGTTGCTTTTTCAGGAGAGCTTTCTGCTTGGCTCGCTCTCGTGCTCGCTTAGCTTTCGCCCGCTCCTGTAGATCATCAAGTAAAATACACATTACCCAAGTTGTTGGCTGTCTGCCTGCATCTTTACAAAAATACAATCATTATGAGTAACTCTATATCAATTCAGCAGCCACATAAACAATCCAATGATTTTGAGCAACGTAAATGGTCTTATATTTTATTTGAAATTATTATGAGTGAATGTAAACAAACACAAGGCACCAGATGTGACAAATATCCACTAGGCACCGACATTCGTTAAAACCTACAAACAAAAAGCTTCCAAACCTGATGTAGCATAAAAATTTATTTCACGCACTCCTGCTGCCTGGAACACAGAAGCGGGGAGCATGTGTTAAGCATGAAACCTAACATGACTACACTGCATCAGAACCACAGATTGATAGAGATTTCTATCTATAAAATATCACCAGATTAAGCGGGAAAATAACTGACCCGCTCTTGCAGTAGTCGTGCTAATTCCTTGTCCTGAGCTTCAATGGCAATCAGTCTGTCCTGATCTAACATGTCCAACTGTCGGGACCCCTCCTGTTCCTGCAGGAGGCGAGCAAACTCCTGTAAGAAAACACCAATCTGTGTTATTTAACTCATTGAAGTTCATAACAAGATCCACAAGAATCACGGTGGCAGTTGTAGTGAACACGACACAGTCGACGAGTGTCACTCTAGTCACGAGTTTCAATGACAACGTGGACTAGGGCAACACCCGCTCACTGGGACAGTCCAATTTCACTAAATTAATATTCCTTTTGGAGGTGAGGGATCAGTTCTGAGCTCTGAAAAGGGCATGTGCCAGAACAGGTTGGAAATGGTGGAAAATGGGGGCTCACAACCAATGTTTGATTCCCAGCATAGCAAGATATCTTTCGTTGATACAATGTTCAGACTGGCTCTGGGGTTCATCCAGCCTCTTATCTGGTAGGTGTGAAACTCTGTACTTGTATTCACAAGGTGGTCAGGTTAACATCTCTCCTGACAGGGTTTTCAGTCCCCCGAAGTGAACGCATGAATATTAGTGCTTTCAAATAAGCCACAGCCAAAGCTATGTAACTTCTGCATTTGAGTTTTCACTCACAGCATCCTGCTCTTCCTGTATTCTCCTTGCCTCCTCCTCGCTGAGTCCTGCAGGTGACGGTGGGTTGACAAGAAGTACCTCTTCAGGGGACTGGCAGATGCTATTGGTCTGGACAGCTGCATCTGTCAAGGTGCAGAGTCTGGAACGAAAATATAACTGGCTGTATTTTATGAATAAAAGACATGCCTATACTCCATGGAATAAAATTCAGCAATGGCAGTCAGACAATGGAGTACCAGCTTATCACACTTTATACTTGATACTGTAATGCCCACTCACAGTAAAGATACCGGTATTTAAAAAAAGTATAACCTAACCCAATTCATATAGGTCACCTAATATTGTTAGTAAACTGAAATGTAGGTTATAACAGGGTCTGGGCATGTAACTTGGGGAAGAAAAATGCACATACAAGTTTCAAAAGCAAAAACTGACAGGGATATGAGAGTGTAACATCATGTTTGATCTGTGGGAAACAGGTTGTAAGGATCGCAGGTAAATTAAAATAACTCAGAATTATGTCCAATGGCAGGATTTGGTATTACCTTAAGTTGTTGTAGCATACAGTTCATTAGTTACGACACTCTCCAAAACTTTGTTTTCAATACCAGACTGAAATGTGTGATATACTGATAACTTAAAAAAAGAAACAAATATTCCTATAATTAATATCTACTGAATGAACTGAAAAATAAAGGAATTCTAATGATGAGTAGGAAGTGTGTTACAGATAATTAATAATTAAGGTTGATAAAAAATACATGCTTTAACTTTTATCTGTAATAACCATTACACTGTGAGGCATTAAACCTGGACACAAAGAGAAGTTCAAAAATTAGATAAATAGCCTTGAGTAAAAATTCAAAACTAAATTAGAGAAAATTCAAAATCAAGACTCATTAAATGTGGATTTGAGGCAGCAACACCATGTACCTGAACTGCTGAGAGAGAGAATCTGGGCTGTACTGGGATGGAGAAGGCAGCCCAACATTATTCATGTCTCGATCATACTGCGGGTGTTCAATGCTGCCGTCAGTTGATGCTTGCATCGACAGGCGTTCCCTTTCAAACCTCTCAATACGAAGTCGTTCACGTTCCTGCCTCAAAACAACTTGCTGAAAATATCTTGAATGTGACCACCCACAGCTAATGTTACTGGGCTGTTTTAAGCTCACAGCACACAACTCGGAATCTTGGTACAACATGTCTCACGGTACATTATAATTACATTTTGTTAAATTTTTTTTTTTACAATTCAACTGTGTTAAATATCAGTGAGAACTACAGTAACAGGTTCCAAACCCTTCTGGCTCTTCCTGAACTACTAACTTTTAGTCTTCAACAAGATATAATGATAATTTTGTCCAAAAAATGATGCTATACATAATGATAGTTGTTACACTTTTTATTTACATAATTCTACTGCAAGCTATCAGAGGCAATGACATGATTAATTTTGACCAAAATATTTTTTCCTTAAGAAACTTCATATAGAGAAACAATTGGCTGTCATGGAAATAAAAGCAGCAAAAACCCAACCTCGGTGGGTGAATAAATTACAGGGTAGAAAGCCACAGTAGGAAACTGTCACAAGTCAACTTCACAATTCATTTGTAATGCTTCATGAAAACCGCTTCCTGACGACATTCAGCTTTCTTACCTCTCCCCATTTCAATCTGACCCTCTGAGATGTTGAATTAATCATTCAGTAAATCTGGGCACATCTGTGATTCTGAGACAGCATATACACAGTCACCGCAGGCAAAATTAAAGCACATGCAAAGGTCAGAAGATTTATAGGAAGAACAAGACACTATACACAGTACAAACTGAACGGCAAAAAAAAAGAGAGAAGGTCATGGGAAGAGAGAGAATGTAAAATGACTTCTTAGTATGAATTATGCAATATTTATGGCAACTGTAAAAGCGTACATAAAGTTCCATGCACTCTTAACCTTGGAACATGACGGAGGTGAATTGTCAGTTTCACACTATGGATGCTTTACCCATGGGGAAATAGGTCAAGAGTCTCATAGGTACGTACCCTGGGCAGATTTTTTTCTGATTTAATTTTTGACACAGTTATTTTATTACTACTGGGTTCCATTTTAAATGATGCGCCTTGCATAACATTAGTTATAACATAGCAGCATTTGATGAAAATTTCTGGGTCAATCTTACATGTCAAGATTCATCAATCAGGAGATGCAACCTAAAGAAAATAAAAGGGTTTACAGTTTACAGTCACAGTAACTGCAGAGGAACACAAATACAGTTTGTCATGCCTCCATACATACACAGAGCAGCACAGACTACAGCAAAAATCAAAGTTTTACCTCTCCCTCTTCGGCTGCGACATCTGAGGAAGAGTCTGGCTACAGATAGGAACAAATGAAGGAAGAAAAAACAATATCACTCACTGCAAAACATGGCATGACACATCTCTCGCAGGGAATAACACATTCTCATAATCTGGACACACTGGATCACAATCACAATAACACGGCACTAAGTAATGTGTTACGCCTCCAAGTGGGGAAATCTTAATGTCATGTGGCACCAACATTACAGCAAGAATTCTCAATTACATTATTTTCTAACAGGAAAATTTGTTTCAATCATGACCAACTAACATCACGTTGTAAAGTCTTACCACATAAGTCAGTAGCTAATCAGTTTATTAATAATTATCTCTTGTTTAAATTAAAGGCTCATGACATGCAACACCAATCATTTGCTAATGTGGATCATTTTCAGACATAATCCAATTCATACTCTTACAACCCATTTCTTTAAGATTCAGCTTTATATTATTATTCCATCTATGTCTAGGTCTCCTAAATTGTCCTCTGCCTTAAGGTTTTCCAATGTGAATACATGCTGTGATAACCTGTACTCTGTTCTGATAATTGTTAAATATGAAATTCATTCACATTTACGACAAACACGAGTTCAATAAAACATACCAACTTTCATTTCTGGATTGCAACTAAAATCTAATGTTTCGTGTGACTTGCCACGTTGGACACAATAATTCAGTACAACGAGCAGCACTAGCTTTGCTAAACACGTAACAGTTCATGGAAATTTCTTTAAAGACGCAACCATACTCACTTGTAGCTTTCGAGCAATCTCCTGGTCCCCCTCCTCCAGAGCTTGTCGCCGTTCCAATTCTTCACGCTCCATTTTCTCAGCCAGTTGCTTAGCTACCTGGGCATCGACCTGCTCCCTGGATGACACATGATACATCAACATCATCATCATATGAGGCAACATCAAACCTCATAATTTTGAAATGATATTAAAAACTTGTATCTTCTTTTGTGCACATTTAAATATAATTAAGTTTACACCTCCCTTTATTTCTACTTTATCATTAAAAAGCCAACATGTCCTAGCCTTGATCGTGGACTGGATTCATGTGGCTCAGGAGTGGAACCAATGGTGGTATCGCATAAACTTGATAACAAAATTTAAGATTCCATAAAAGATGGGAAACATCTTTACTAGATGACTGTAGTAACTGCTTCTTAACAAAGACTCTATGCCATGATATTACGTAGTTAAACAAAATAAAAGCTGCTAACTGTTGATGGACCATCTGATGGTACATGGCCCGCAGAGAAGCGGCCTCCTTCTCTTCACGACGCTGCTCATCCAGGGCGTGGGGGAAGTCCTGCCGCACCAGAGCATTTCGAGACTTGTTGCCTGTGTAGTGGTGTTTGACTACAAACAAAAACAAGCAAGTTTAATTACCTTTTGACACATCACAAAGAAGAAGCTTCTCTGGAGTGTGTAAAGAAGGGTTAAAATCCAAAACCAGGGCATTAATCAAAAGCTGAAGGTATGAGCACTACAAGAAACATTAATGGAATTGACATGTGTTACACATGGAAGCAAAATGACTGCTGCTTTAAGCGCATAATGAATGAATAAATAAATAATCGTAAGATTTGAGGTTTTCACAGCGGTGAGTATGAAGATTTCTGTCTTCTGGGTTGTTGTGCTGTGTAGTCTGGTCAATGTTTACCAACGTTTCAGAGGTCATACTGCCTCCATCATCAGGGCGATGAAGATATCCGTCTTCTGGGTTGTTGCGCTGTGTAGTCTGGTCGATGTTTACCAACGTTTCAGAGGCCATACTGCCTCCGTCATCAGGGCGATTCTTAGTATGAAGATTTCTGTCTTCTGGGTTGTTGCGCTGTGTAGTCTGGTCGATGTTTACCAACGTTTCAGAGGCCATACTGCCTCCGTCATCAGGGCGATTCTTAGTATGAAGATTTCTGTCTTCTGGGTTGTTGCGCTGTGTAGTCTGGTCGATGTT